CACTGTAGGATCAGCACTGGACTTCAAACCATAAGGTCAGCAGTTTAAACCCACCAGCTGCTCCTCAGAAACCCTAGACAGGGTCACGATGAGTTAGAACCAACCCAATGGCACTTAACAACTACAAGTTGAACTGTAATGAACAAGACCAGTGTGGTCATTCTTCTCATGAAGTTTACAGTCTAACAGGTGAGACTGATGTTTACCAAGTAAGCAAACAAATATATAATTACAAACTATAGATTCCATTAGGAAAAACAAAAACAAAAACAGGATGCTGTGGAGGAGGGGAAAATAGCTCCTGTGAACTGGGGTGAAATTTAGAGGTGATATAGGATCAGCACTGGACTGCTCACCTCAAAGTTGGTGGCTCAAACCCACTAGATGCTCCTTGGAAATTCTATGCAGTGAGGCTATGAGTCAAAACCCTTGACAGCACGTAACAACAACAAAAACAAAGAAGGAAAAGAGAACCCACAATGTAATTGGTGAAAACTTTTCTGATAGAGGAGGCAGCAATGACATCTCAAAATGAGAATGGGCTTGGTGCATTGTGAGGAATTGGATGAAGAAGAAGAACAAAGAAAGGAGAAGTGATGAGGTTAGCAGGGGCCAGAACACATAGGCTTTTGTAGGCTGTGTTAACAACTTTGTATTTTAAAGAGCAGTGGGAATCCTATGAAAGTTTTAAGTAGGAAAATGACATCATCTAGTTTGTACTGCAGAGAAATCGTTGTGGATGTTGTAGAGAGTCTTATTGGAGGTGAGCAAGAGTAGAAAAAAAGAGAATACTGCATTATTAGCAGTCCTAGTGAGAAAAGACAGCTTGAGGCGCTCATCCCTTGGTAGGGTAGCGAACGTAGTTGACCTGGGCTCTGAGCTGAGGAGAAAAGATGTGGTTCACATTATCCTACACTAGCTTCTCTTTGCTAAGCTGCAAAATTCATCTTTCTAATTTACCTTTAACAATGTTCCAGTAGTTTATGAAAGAAGCTCACAGTGTGGCCTTTTTCTAAGTGTGATTGTCTTGCGTAGTCAGTCCACACTGGTTGAGTGGCCTCAGGCCCTATGCTTTTCCAGGGTCTTCCATGTATCTTGCACTAAGGTAGTAAAAAGTGAAGGTGACGTTGACAGAGTCCAGCTATATTTGAAGAAAAGACCAGTAAGACTTGCATGTGAGTTGGATTTGTGGTTGAGGAAGAGGAAGGAATCAAGGACTCCCAGTATAGTTGTGCTACTCACCAAGATGAGGAAATAAGAGGGAGAGTGCAAAATAGGCTTGGGGTACAGAGGTTTCCATTCTGGACTTGTTAAATAGAAGGTGCCAATGATCTAGCCAAGCTGAGAGTCAAGTAGGCAGGTGTATAGACTAGCATACAGCTCAGCTGTATTCACTGGGCTGAAGTATTCATTTGAGAGTACTGTTAATATATAACACCTAGGAGAGACTATTGAGGAAGAAGAAGACACTCTATGGAATGCCAAATTTAGAGGTCAGGTAAAAGAGAAATCTGCAAGGTGAAGTGAGGAGTTGTCTGATAGGCTAAAAAGCAGGAGAACAGTGTGTTATGGAAGCCAAGGGTCCATTTTGTTTTGTTTCTGCTGTTTGGAATGTGGTAAAAATAAAGTATTACATTAGAGGTGTCTGAATTTGATAACATGAAAAACATTGATCAGAGCAGCTTCACTGGGGTGGGGTAGGGTGGAAAATAAGCAAGTTTGGACTGAAAGGCATTCTGTAAGGCTTGTTCATAAGTCAACCTTTCTAGTTTTAGCCCTTGGACCTGAGGGAATTATTGACCCAAAGAGACTGCAGAAATCCTAGCAGGACCACTTGGCTGATTTTATCTTTATGGACTATGTCTGCACTATTTCTAATTCTACTTGTCCTTAGGCACTCTCAGACAGGATGGCTGCTGTATAGCACATCTTCCTCAACAGCCACTTCATGTGCCCAGGTTCAAAAAGAAAAACAAAATAAAACAAAACAATGCCTGAAGGGATCAGAAGTAAATTTGGGTAATTGTCCTGGTTACTGCAGGTCAAGATTTCATAAATACTTGAGTTTAAAATGTTGTAGAAGGGTTCTTCCTGTCTGCCACAATTGGTGATTCAAGGCGTCACCTTGATGAGGCATGTGATAGGACAAGGTGGAGAAGAGGACTGCCCAGTAAACATGTACTTGGTGCTTTACGGGACTTTGCAGGTTCCTGTCTCACTCATACTGCATGTCTGCTATTGAACTGGACAATTCCTATCCCAAAAAGGGAAAAATCTCAAACCACACATGAAATGTTTATCTTTTACTCATTTTACTTTTTGATCTTGTTAATTTTAATTTCTAATTAATATCCTTAACCAGCTGGGGTTAGAACATCTTTGCTTTCAGTTTCCACTGTTAAGTATTTCATGATCTATAGACAAACTCTTGAGAAATCTTTGTATAAGAAGTATCCTTTTGTCCTTGTGAATAATTTCACCTTCCAAGTTATCATTGTAAGTAACATGTACAGAAACAAATGTGTCCAATGATGAGATCCACACAGCATTTCCATTTCACATGCTTTGATCCTCTTTGCAAGATGACAAGTTAGGACAAGTATCTCAGCAAGTAAAAATTACAAAGAAACCCCCCAATTTTTTTCCTGGCCAGCCCATTTTACAATTTTGGTCAAGTTACTTAACTTCTCTCTGCTTCAAATCCTCCTTCAGGAAATGATGTGAATACCAACCTTTTCCCTGCATCTAAGAAGTAATTTGAGTCCAGCTAATTGACTCTACCATGTGTAGTGTAATGGTGTAGAAACAAGCTATTCGAAGTGAAATATCATCACCATGGTCCAACTCAGGAATTACCACTACACAAACTACCCTCTAGTTAGAAGTGGTTTTTTGAAGACCACATTGAACTATTTCCAGCAGTACAATATCTTCCTGTATTTATTTGTGTAGTTCTTCTAGTCTATCATTTTGTTAGGTGAATTTTAAAACTTTAACCCAGCCAACATATTCCTGTAGAACATATTCCAGTTTTCATGGAAGACATTCGTATTTGAGGATTTCAGAATATTTCTTAGAATATCTGCAAGAGTAGTTGACTTAGAGCAAAACCATAGATGGGAATCACAGCATGTGTGAATGAATGATTTACTGTACTTATTTAAAAACCTTCCTGTAAGTATGCTAGTGAATGTGGCTTCCAGGGGAACCCAGCCCATAAACAGGCAGTCACTAGAACACCTAAGAAAAATCTGGCTCAATAGCATGCAAACCATCAGCATAACCCTCCCGTTGGAAGGGGCTTTTCCCTTAGAAGGTGATTTCCCACATCTCACCTCTATGAGGTAGACATTTTATTCTCATCTTATAAAGGGGGAAATTGAGGCCCAGAGAAATCAAGTCCAAGATCACATGGCTGATACATGCTGGAGTCAGGATTCCAGTCCAGGACTTTGGAAACCTTTTCTAGGATTTTTTCACTCACTCTGAAAATAATAGACATCAGTCTACAGGGGGAAGAAAAAGAGCATCGTGCCTTAAATACTCCATTCAAATTTTACATCAAATAGGTACTTTTTATAACTGTGGTTTGATATGCTAAAGGTGACCAGCATCTGCCCTGTTTCTCCTTTTATCGCTTTATAAATCATTATCAAAGGTACAATATAAGAAAAATGCTCAACTTTAAAACAAAGGAAGTCCTTGGCATTCATGAATTGAACATACACAAGGACCCCTGGGGGTCTCTGACAATGTTAGAGACAAGAATCTGAATCACATACAATGAGGCTGGTGTGGGATGGAATCTCTCTGCTAGTTAGTAAACCTCGCCTTCAAATATCAGTATGACTTTCGTATTCCCTACTCATATACCAATTATGGAGAGAAAAATTGCACCCTAGAATGGTATTCCATAACCTGGGGATTCCCAGAAGTCTTGAAACATATTCCTCAGAAGTATCAAGGGTCCACTGTACTGAATGTTCTTGTTTTAATTTTGCCATTGTTATTGTTAAATCCTGTTGAGTTGGTTCCGACTCATAGCAACCCTGTATAAGGTTTCCACAGAGCAGTTAGTGGGTTTCAACTGCCGACCTTGTGGTTCGCAGCCCAGTGTAGATCCTACAGCACCGCGGTCAGAAATTTAGGGGTAATCTCAGTGCTCAGAACTAGTAATTAGTTCATCTCAGATTCCTAACACATCTGCCTTCCTGCTTGGCTTCTGATCAATGGATGCTTTAAAAAAAAAAAAAATCATTTCTTATTTTTATCATTGTATTATATGTGTTTTGATGTAAATTCCCTAGAATCCTTTTTGGAAGTATACAGAGTTTAAATCCTAAATATATGTTGAAACTAAGCTTCCTGGAAAGAATCAATTACCTGAGTTCCGGGGCCTTGCACAATGTTTAGAAATACTAATAAGAATTAAGGACACAGTGATCGTTTTTAGATGAATTTATCCAATTTCTGAGATTACCTGACGATAGCGAAGAATACCTTGAGTGACATCTAATGGTTGAGAAAGTCACTTTTCCAACTTCGAGATACCAAGGCCAGTGTTTCCCAAAGCTCGGTTCTATTCTTTAGATTCAGCTGGCTGCCTGTTTAAAATTCAGGGAAAAAATCCTGGCCCCCGTTCCATTGGAATCGCTGGGCCAAATCTCCTGGGCATCTGTATTTTCCACAACCAGCCCAGGTGATTACGGTAAATACTCGAGCTTGAGAAGCACGGTTCTCAACACTCCCACGAAGTTAGAAGGGGTCGGGAATGTGCGATTAGGCTAGGATTGGGCAATCTCCTTCCAGTTCTATCCACCTGGAGAGAAGGGCAGACCGATCCAGGGGCACTGCCCCCTTGGCAGTGAGGGTGGAGGGTGGCAGTGGCTTGGGACCCTTGAAAGTAGTCGCCCCCTGGCGGCCTGGCCTGGGTAGAGCGAGGTCGCGGGAGTGCGGGAACCGCGCGGCGCCGCTCTTAACTGCTGTCTCTGTGTCCACAGACGAATCCACCTCCTGGAGTTCTCCCGCTGCCGCCTCCCCAGGTCTGCCGGAAGTAGGCGTCTCGCTCGAGGACGTCCTCTCTCCATTCTCTCCATCACATCCAGTCCCACCCTCCGACCCTTCCCACCAGATAAGCCCAGACCCAACTTGGGATATCAAAAGGGAACACGACGTTAGGAAACCAAAGGAGCTTTCAGCCGGCGGCCAGAAGAAGCAGCGCCTCGGGGAGCAGAGCGAGCGCTCGGCGAGCCCGCAGAGGGTCGCGCGGCCGAGGCTCGAGGAGGCGCCCTGCGGCCAGGGGCGGCCCGAGGCCGGCAGGCCA